TTGTAAACGTCTTTAATTCTCAATGTTCCATCAATATTTTTGTCCAATATTCTAAACTCCCTTTCCCTCTCTTCTCCCTTACCATTCGGGAGGTCTTAGTCCCCTTCTTTTCTCCAAATATCTTTGTACCATTGGATCCTTGCATTCATCTCTCTCACATATTTCTCAATCAACGAATCAACGCATTTTCTACTTGTCCCTTCCCGAATAGAAAAAAGCGCCAAAATTTAAAAAAAAAAATCTGTACTAAATCAAATAACAAATTAAATGTTGATAATTTTGATTCAATGTTATTTTTAATCAACGTTTCTAATATACAAATATTAATAATATCTTTTATTTTATATAAAAAAAGTGTACGTAAACATTTTTGAAGCTTCTTCAAAAATAGACCAATAGGAAGACGATTAATGTCCTGGGCCTTACGAAATAGCCAATGTTATATGGACACAGGCAGTGTTCGTTTAGAAGCTGATGGGGAAGGACGTAGGTGTATCTGTAACGTTACTTCAGTCTTTTAAAAAAGTTTGTTGGAAAATTCTAGTAGCTTCAGTTGAGTTAGTAGTTACATTCATTGAAAAAGTTATCTGACGTGACAATATATACCGAAATATAAACTAAAACATTGATTGCAGTTTAGTACAAATTTAAGAGACATTAGTTGAAAGACCTGTTTTGTTAAATTAAAAAATTAGATACCTAATTAAATTTACTTTCTCAAAATATTAATTGAAGAAGTTATTGCAAAGATGAATAATAACACCAACGAAGTAAGTAATCATCAACATGCAGTTGATGATTCAACAATAGCAACAGTAAATGAAGCAAAAATAAATGAAAGAGTATTCCGAAATACACAGTCCACTTCACAAACAACCGCAAAAATACAACATTCGGATAATACAGATGAAATGGATTGGGAGCCAGAAGAAGATGTTACAAATCTTCAAAACGTACCGATGGAAATTGATGAAAATATAAATATAAATGAAACTAATATAAGTAATCAAAGCAGTAACCCAAATAATGCTTATGACGAAATGTCACTTATAAATCAAATGATTAGAAAGCGAAAAATTACACTTGAACTAGAAAAAAAATTACTCATATTTTATAATAAAATTAATAAGAAGAAAAGACATAATATAATAATCAATAGTATTTTGATCAATAAGAGAATTTTCAAGACTATCAGGGGAGTAAATAATAATAACAATCAACATTATGAACGAAAAGGAAACCCGATGAATACTAAAAGATTCCATCCATATGGGGATGTAATCACATTTTTACGATATGTTAAAACATAAATGTAATAACTCAGCAAGAGGTAATTATAGTGATCATTATTATTCAAATTATCTATACAATAATAATATTAATAACACTAACAATAATAACAATAATTTCAGGAGATCATCAATAAATTAATGGTAATAACGACAGAAAACACACGACAATAATATAATATAATTCGACTGGACTTTCTACAAGTGTATCAACGCATTTACAACACCAGCAATGAATTCATTCCACAATGCCATATTAAGCGATTGAATTCATTTCCAATGCCATTTTCAATGCAGACCAAACCAAATCATTTGCATCACACGATCTTCTAAGACGAACAAAGTCATCGACAAGTTGACTTGGAAGATATTCACTGAAGGTAATAAAGGTATCAAATTTCAAGATTTCAAGTATTGTACACTTTCGACGATAATTAACTATTGTAATCTTTTATTACCAATTTTTATATATTGACTTTTTTTCTTATATATATATATAACTTCTTCTTTTCGTAAAGTCTTATTCAACATGACATACTAATTTTCATAAAAGTTTATTAACGTCATCAAATAATTGCACTTATACTGGGTTGACAACTAATTTATTATGAATTTGTCCAGAAAAATGATTGGTGAATAATTTTTTTTAATTGGTTAATTACATTGATAATTAGTTGTCAAACCAATATAAAATGATATTGTTAAAGATGAGAAAGAAAGAAGTACCACACTTAAAAAATGTAACAAATATACATTTTTGATGACGATTAATTACTATTGACAATTGTTAATATTAAATAATATTATATTATTTCTAATAATATATATATATATTTAACATTATATATATATATTAATTATTTTTAATATTATTTAATATTACAATTTTTTATTACAAATGTGATATATTCGCATTTGTATTTTTTTTTTTTTTTTCAAAAAAAAACCTCCAAAAAAATTATAAAAATCATAAAAAATTTTAATTATATTGGATTGACAATTAAGTAGATAATTGTGGATTTCACTAATCATCTTCTTTCAAATATCCACAATTACTTCTTACTTGTCAACCCAATATATATTAAAAAAAAAAAAAAAAAATCATTATTATAACCTTAGATATTAGTAGTTTGTAAAAAATGAGAAAGGAATATTACACTTTTGATGATGATTAAATATTACAATTTTTGATTAGAAATATATTCACTTATTTTATATACAAGTTTTCTTTGACATAATGAACAAATTTTCATATATATATATGAAACATTACAAAACTTATCAAAAATTGTAATTATACTGAACAATTAAGTAATTGTGGATATGATCAATCACATTTTTTTAAATATCCATAATTACTTACTTGTCAAACCAATATAAAAAAAAAAAAATCATCAATTCACATAACAAAAGATGAAAATAGATTGTAACAGATGAAAAAGGAATACCACACTTAAAAACACAAACTGGTATACACATAATACATACTTTCGACTATAATTAAATATATTACAATTTTTTATTAGGAATAGAATATATGTAATATATATATCTTATATATAGGATACATATAGGAATATATATGTAATATATGTTATATCATCATATATCAATAACGAATGACATGTAACACATAATGCATGACATATATATTGCATGATATGTAACATATATATATATAATATATTTCTAATATAATATATCCTATATATATAGATAATATTTGTCATATATATTCATTCATTATATTTAAAAGTTTTTTTTAACATTTTACATATATACAATTTTCATAACATTATAAAAACATCAAAAATTGTATTTATACTGGATAGACAAATAATCAATTGTGAATTTTTAATTGTGAATCTTTTTTTTAACTGGTTAATTTAATTAGTGATTAATTGTAAACTCAATATAAAAAGAAATGATAGAAAGTGGTAAAACAAGACAAAGGAGTACTACACTTAAACATGTTAACAAATTTACATTTCTGATGATGATTAATACAATATTACAATTTTTTATTAGAAGTAGGATGTATACACTTATATTACACAAAAATTCCTTTCTCTGGAATGTTCTTTGATCCTATTGTGCTAATTTTTTATAAAAATAAAATACTTTTTGTAACAAACTAAATTTTGTTTTCAATTAATCAAAAAATCCCCATCAATGTAATCCCAAATCCTTTATATATAATATATATTTAACAAAATATTATACATGTAAGTATAAATTCATTATAAATAAATATTAACTTTGAAAATTATAAATATTATAAAATATATTTTAATTATCTTCTTGAAAATAGTAATATTTGTAATTGAACATTTAAAATTTACAATTTTTGTTTTATTAGAAATAAATGTATCTATAACAATTTTTATTAGAAAAAAATTTTTGTATTAGAAAATGCATTTGGCGAAATATTTTCGATATACTTTCGATATACTTTCGATATACGTTCGATAATCGATTTAAGATGGGATTTTTTTTCTAAAAGTTCTGAAGCTTATGTAAAAATCTTCAGAAAAATAAAACCTTTTATTTAACAAACTAAATTTCATTTTTAAATAATCCAAAAGTTTCTAATTAACGCGTATAAACAAAAGATATCGGTTACTGTATTATATAACACAAGATATACCAGACCAGTCATTTTGACTGGTCGGCCATCTTGATTCCAAATCTCTACTTCATGTAACATTTGATTTCTGTAAATAATTCAGAGTTTTGTTATTTAAAAATGACTACAAATACATTTATCTGTTAAAATTATTATTGTTTAAACATTATTTCTTATTTTTTAAGAGTAAATAAAGATTGGAAGCTTTGAAAAGCATTTGTTTCTGTACATCAGACATTTTTACGGGTGTTGTAGATATAAATATACTTTGAATGGTGATCTATCTAGTATTAAATAAATATATATATTATTTCAATCCAATATAGAACATAACTAAATTATTAAATATATCTTAGATAATTGAAATATTTCATTAAAATAAATATCTACATAATAATAATACATTTGAATTGGAATATATTTATATTGCTGATATAAATATATAAATGAAACAAAATTGAAATATTTATATATATATATTTATTTATTTTATATATTTTATATAAGTTTCTTAAATTCTGATGACGAGTCTAACTCGTCAAAAGTACCCAAAAGGAGAAACCATTAGCAATAATAGAATTGCCTCCTATGAAATGGCCCCCTAGATGCTTTCCTAAGGAACTTGGTATTTTTGGTATATTTGACGCCAGTGCAAAAAAATTCGAGAAGCTTCCGAAATTTGTCAACTGAAGGAAAGATCTTGAAAAACCATCTTCCAAAGATTTTTCCACATCTTCAATAGCAGCAGAAATATCAGGTAAACTAATATTTCTTACTTGCTTCATAGGTCGCAATATTTGTAATGATCATTTACAATTTACAATTTTTTTTTTATTAGAAATAATTTTATTTATAATAATTCTTATTGGAAAAAAAAAAAACTTTACAAACTTTTCTCAATTTTCCGCTATACTATCGATATACAATCGATAATCGATATAAGATTCGATAGTAGAATTGTATAGTTCCATAAAGATGGCACTAGTTATGTTTGACAAGAAAGGCTAGGGAATATACTATCTAGTAACCAAATGGTTCATGCTCGTAGTAAGCCGTCAGAGGACGCCATGTTTATAGTGTAGGTGGTATAGTGTGAGAATACGTGTTATTCATTATTTTCGACAGAGAGGAAAAAAAAAAAAGAAAGAAAGGAAACGTTAACCGTTACTTTATTTATTTACACAATTAAAGATAGTAGAAGTCATCCGGGATGTATTAAACGGTGGTTTACAGTGAACAGTGCATGATTACCTTGACTTCATTTATAATATTTTTCTTTCAATTCGTCAATTCGAATGCAAGTCTGACGCGAAAGATCTACGAAGCTGCGGACATAATTTCTTTATGAATTTTTTCCTCCTTACTTATCTTACAATTTGTTTACAATACTTTTCCCATTGTTATTTTACATCCGAGTTGTTAATCATACAGAAAGTGCATCTTATTCTAATATAATACCAATTCCGTTTCAGGAATTGTTTCTAATATTTTATAAAGACCACCCTATGCTTTCTTAATGCAGACATTTCAGGTTTTTATAACCTGATTACGCGATCAAAAGGTTCAATTTGTAATCTTATTCAAACATGTTTCTGGATCTTTGACAGAACAATAAACGGTAAGAATCAGAACACATCATTGCTGATTCTTTTTTTTTTAATTTATCTTCTAATTATTTTATTTTCATTTCATTTCATTTCATTTTCATTTACATCAATCAACATCAAATTGGATTTCCCCCCTCATTAGTTTTGGAATATTGACACATTTTCTTTTCCTGCCAAATTATCATCATAACAAAATGCTAGTATGACTTTTTTTTTTTATCTATTATTAATGTTTACAATAAATGTTTACATTGTTTATATGTGTTTTAGATTGCATTTGACAAAAAAAAAACACAGATTCGTTTCTTTCTTTCTTTTTATATTTGTTGTTGTTGTTGTTGTTGTTGTTGTTGATGTTGTTGTTGTTGTTGTTATTGTGAATGATTGTTAAGACTATTCATTAACAAACTTCATTATTTTTTATTTACAGGAAGTAGAAAATAAATATTAAGAAGAAGCTAACCGACTTAAAGAAGAAATCTCAAATATGTGGGGATCTCAATCGGTTAACTCTAACTCAAATTCCAATTCTAATTCCAATTCTAATTCTAATGCCAATTCTAATTCAAATTCAAATGAGAAAAAGGATAAAACTAGTACACTAGGTATGACATCGGCTATTAGTATGGCCGAACCAAAACCTAATGACTATATTAGAACAAATGAATTAAAGGAAGCTTTAAAACCATACAATGTATTTGAATCGGAAGAAGAATTGAATCATAGAATGGAAATATTGAGGTAAATATTAATATAGATACTAATAAAGATTTAGAAAAATTCAAATATCAAATCTTTGAATTTATCCGAAATATTATTATACTAATAATATGTAACATTTATTTTTCAGTAAATTAAATACTTTGGTAAAGCAGTGGATTAGAGATATAAGCTATGCAAGAAATATGCCACCTAATGTTGCAGATAACGTTGGTGGAAAAATATATACCTTTGGTTCATATAGATTAGGTGTTCATCACAAAGGTGCTGATATCGATGCCTTATGTGTTGCCCCAAAACACATATATAGATCCGATTATTTCTCATCGTTTTTTGACTTATTAAGAATGCAAGAAGAAGTGACTGATTTAAGAGTACGTATAAATGAATATAATATCATTATTATATTTACTAATTACATTCACATTAATATTATCTTGCCATGTATTAAAACTGCATATGCACTGTATTAAAAAATTTATTAAAAAGTCTGCAAGACTTCTTGCTTGTTTATAAAATAAACTATGTTATGATTCTATGTCTACACTTTTGTTTGTTTACATTATGAAATGAACTGTTACATTTCATGTTTACCATATACATAATGTTTACATAATACTTATATGTATATATATATATATATATAAACTATGTTTTGTTTTGTCTTTATAGGCAGTGGAAGAAGCATTTGTACCAGTTATTAAAATGAAATTTGATGGTATTGAGATTGATATGTTGTTCGCTAAATTATTGTGTAAAGAAGTTCCAGATAATATGGTAATTTATTTACTTATATTTATTTTCTAATATATGAAATATTAAACTTACAAATTAAATGTTAATATTACATGGAAAATATTCATTTATATTTACCCAGGATCTTAAAGATGATTCTTTGTTAAAAAATCTTGATCAGAAGTGTGTAAGAAGTTTGAATGGATGCAGAGTAACGGATGAGATTTTACGTTTAGTACCTAACATAGAAAATTTCCGATTGGCACTTAGAGCTATTAAATTATGGGCTAAAAGTTAGTATTTAAATAATATTCATCTATTTTAATAAATCATCAACATTACTAATATTTATAAACTACATCATGTTATAACTTATATTTTGATTTTTCAGGACATGGCATTTATAGTAACGTTTTAGGATACCTCGGTGGTGTATCATGGGCAATGCTCGTAGCTCGAACATGTCAACTTTATCCTAATGCTGTAGCTGCAACATTGATTGAAAAATTTTTCCTTGTATTTTCTCAATGGAAATGGCCACAACCTGTTCTACTAAAACAACCCGAAAACTGTAACTTAGGCTTTCCAGTATGGGATCCAAGAGTAAGTATTAATAGTATTTCAATTTTACAATATTTTTTATACATTCTTTAATATCAATTCTAGATTATCCTAATAACGTTTCAATGTTACAGGTAAATATGTCAGACAGATATCATTTGATGCCAATAATAACTCCAGCATATCCACAACAAAATTCAACATTTAATGTATCTGCATCGACACGAAAAATTATGCAGCAAGCATTTGACGCTGGTTTAAGAACAACCGAAGAAATTATAACAGGAAAAGCAACGTGGGACAAATTATTCGAACCATCCCATTTTTTCACATCATATAAACATTATATCATATTATTGGCCAGAAGTTTAACACCAGAAGATCAACTAGAATGGTGTGGACTAGTTGAATCCAAAATACGTCATCTCATAGGTAATTAATAAAACATTTTTCATTGATTCTTCTAAATATTTGGATTCATTAATTAACACAGAATTTTGTAATCCTTATCTTGTTTATTCATCTAATAGAATTATCCTTGTTGTTTTTCTTTTTCAAATGTTAATAATTCTGATTCTTGTAAACAGGTATACTGGAAAGGAATCCTCATATCAAATTGGCTCACATTAATCCAGAAGTTTTCCCACCATTAAAACCAGAGCCAGATAGACAATGTTCTATGTGGTTCATTGGATTACTTTTTGAATCCAGTGAAAACTTAAACATTGATTTGACACATGACATAAAGACTTTTGTCGATACGAGTAAGTACAAAATCTAATAGTTCCTAATTACTATAATACAATGATGTGAATCTTGATGAATTTTGGATTAATCTTTTCCTATGATTTTAGTTGAAAGGCAGGCCGAAGCAATAAAAATGTTAAAAGAAGGCATGTGGATAGAAGTAAAACATGCGAGAAGAAGAGATTTAATCAACTATCTTCCGGCTTCATTATTAAAAAAAGAGAAAAAGGTTTGTTTTTAATTTATATTCTCCTACTATACACATGATTCTTTATACTTCAATTAAATTCAATTTTCATTACAAACAAAACATTATGTTATGTTTCAGTCATCAAGTGGGAATTCACACCACAACGGAAATATTGCTGGAAATGGAAAGAATGGCGGTGTTTCTTCCAGAAATCAAGATACCGCTAATAGAAAAAGATTATCCGATCAAAGTCTTGATAGTAATGGAAAGAAACGAAAAGTTGTCGAGAATGAGCAACAAGTATCACAGGTAAATATTATTTTTACAATACGCGATATAGATAGAGGTGTGGTATTATCAGAATATTATGTCTGTATACCGTACGTTCGAATAAAATGTTCAGGCGGAAGACGAGTCGTTAGTGGTTCAGTCATGTGGAGATGATAGCAACTCTGGCTTTAGTTTGGACGATTACAAGCAGACTGTAACGATTACTAAGGATTTAACAAATTGTACATATAATGAACAATAGACACATCATTAAACAATATTAGGTAACTACACAAGTAAACCTAGAGAGAATAGTAGGTCAGATTATTTTCAAAAATCAAACAAAAAATTTCTATGATCAAAATTATCTGAGGACAACGAGGTAAGAAGCGGATGATAACTGAAAAACTGAGTGTGTCCTTACAAACTATTCCGCTTCTTTCATACGCCTTACAAAATATATTATCGTCGCTTTTGATATACATTTTGGAAACTTTATAACTTTAAATGGATCTACATGTTTTGTTTGTTTTTTCTTCAAATTGTTACAGGAAGGGCCTACCGATACGTCTACGGAAGCACAAGACGGATATGAATGTACTTGACCAATAAAAAGTTACTACCTCACACCGATCCACAGATGTTCTTCTGGGCCATCTAGACTGTAAGCACTTTTCACGCAAAACCATCCAACGTTCTCACTGTAATTGTCCCACGTTATGTAAAAGCAAAACCAATGTTCATATATCGAAGAAGGAAAATAGAAGAAAAAAAAATAAAAAAAAAAAGACAGACAGATAGACAGACAGACCGACAGACATAAATAAGCAGCTAAATATCCGTTTGTAAAACAATTGATGAGCAATTGTATGAAGTTAAAAAAAACAGGACGCGCTATTAATAATCTTAGGATTTATAGAATTATTGTCACGAAGTCAATGGGAGCAATTTAAGACGAACGACAAATATCTGTACGATTTATGCCAGTGTCAGTGTTTTCACTTGATCGCTAAATATATAAACAATTTTTTGATTTAATAATGACTAAATGAAGATTTTAATCGCTGCCCTTTTCAGACTAATATATATTTTTATTTTTTTATTATATTTTGTATATATCACTTAAGGTAATATTTCTTGGCCCGCATAAAAAAGACAATTCAAAGTCTAAGGAAATGCATTCAAGTAGAAGTTAAAAAAAAAAAAAAAAAAAAAAAAAAAAACGAAATAATAGCAATATTATGCAAAAGAGAAGTATATTCTTGTACACGATACATTTCTTTAGCTCATATAGAGATTTAAAAAATATTAATAAGTAATCGTCTTTTTTCTGCTATCTATTTAAAAAAAAAAAAGAAAACGTGCCAAGCTTATAATTTAGCTTTAAAATAAAACAAAAAGAAAAAAAAAATAAATAAAGATAAAAATAAAATTCGAATGACAACAAAAAAAAAAAACGACAAAAAAGTGAAAATAAAAAACATCCAATCTTTCTTGTAAATATAGTCGAATTTAAATATAATAAACGTCCTTTAAAAATATATTTAAAAAAAAAAAATAAAAAATATAAAAAATTATATTTCTAAAGTTGACATATAAATAATAATGTCTTAGCTTTATTTTCTTGTTGCAACTAAGCTATAACATTATTTTTATCGCTTTTCAACTTTAGAAATATATGATTATGGACACACACGACGTTTTTCTTTTTCTTAATTTAGTATATAATTTGTATAAATAATGCAGTAAGTTTATAGATTTCGAATAATTATATTGTTTTATTTAAGCGCGATGATAACTCCTTTTGTTTTGTTTTTTTCTTTATACTTTTTTTTAAGAGAAGCAAGGGGCGCAGAATTATTTTTCTTCTCAACTTTGTTTTTTTTCTTTCAAACATTTTCTTATCTATGAAATGATAATAATAATAATAATAATAATATGGTCTCTTCACATTTAAAAATCGTCATGCTATTTTATCAGGAATCACTGACATTGGCATAATACATCTATGTTTCATTTACAGATACTACCGAATATAATATGTAAAAGCTAACTTTGTACGGTTCTGTAAACGAAACATATTTCCAAGTAGACCATTGACTATTTTGTTAAATATTTTCTGTTACACACGAACGAACTATTTCGTATTATAAAATCGCTTTTTAGTTTTTCTATTCATTCACATCTGTCCTTAATTATCTTTTTTTCTTTTTTTTTTTTTTTTTTTTTACATGTTAAACTACTATCTTCAGTCTTTAATAATTATCTGTGTATAATTGTAATCTTTAATTCTAATTGGTTTTCTTTTTTTTTCTTTTCTGATCAAAACACATCTCACACTTTTCTAGAATATTTTTTTTTCTTCTTTTTTTGCAATGTATGTTAAAGGCATGTCAAATCTTTATTAATATTTTCTATTAAGCGATTTTATTCACGACTATTATTTTCATGATACATAATATGAATGTATAAAAAAAAAAAAAAACAACTAATTGTAAAACGAAACAAAACCATAGAATAATAATTCTTATGGCGTCATGACTACAATGTGAGAAGAGAGAAAAAAGAAAACAAAAAAATAATTCTTCACATTTTTTTCAATATCATTTTTGCCTTTTTTTTTTGTCCACCATGAATATATCTATCAATTTGTAAATTTTCTCTCTTCTCACATTTGTTCTACGTTATTATATGTCCACACTGTAAATGATATTTTCACTCTCTTTTTTTGCTTTTTTTTCTTTCCACCCAACTTTTTTTCTTCCTCCCTTTATACATTTCTTTTGCAAAATTTACAATTGTGTATTTCTTTCTTTCTGTCTTATTTTTTTGGTTTTAATTTTTTTTTTCTTTTTTTTTTTTTATATTAATTCTCCCTCAATGACTCAATGATTTTGTAATGTATAAAGGAAAAGAAAAAAGATGAAAAAAAAAGAAAAAGAAAAAAAAAAGAGAGAACAAAAGAAAGAAAGAAAGAAAGAAAGAAAAAAAAAAAAGAAAAACGTACTTGCATATATTACGATGAACTACTTTGTTTTCTAATTTCTACAAACAAAAATTATACTATTTTTTAAAATTGTATTCACATTATTGTCATTTATATTTACCCCTGACAATTGTTTCTCTATAAATCATTGATAGATAAAAACGTAATGTACATAAATCTCATCCTCATGAAATAAGAAATGTCCAATGAAGTTAATAGTTTATTTATATTATTATTCTTATAATTATTACCATTATTACATTTCGTATTTCATATATATATATCTATATATTTTTTTTTGTATTTTTTTCTTTTTTCAAAATACATACATACATTGTTTGAGAATGTAATTAATTAACAATTTCTTTCCATTTAAATTGTATTTTATTTTTTTAATTATTTTTTTTTTGTTCTCTTCTCTCGTCGTCGATATTATTATTATTATTACGTTGTAAAAATAGATAAAAACGTAAAAATAGACATGTCTGTAGCACATCTTCGTATCACCCCATCTCCCTCAAAAGCCCACTCCCAGACAGGGGGTGTTACAGGGCCCTTTTAATCCATCTAAAATTCCCTTATTAAAATGTCGTCGTATATTTGCTAAGATTATGACGAGATAAAGCTTTCGAGTAATACGATTAGTGAAACGTTGTACTATTACACCATTCACAACCATTTACAATTACCCATCACCCCCATAATTCTTCTTCTCTTCTTCTTCTTCTTCTTCTTCTTGACGAGGCTCTTCCTTCTTCCATCTCTTCTATGAAAAAAAAAAAAATTAAAAATAAAAAAAAAATAAGAAAAGCGTAAAAAAAAAATAGTGCTGAAGGCGAACCCTTAGTTTCTTCTTCTTTTTTTTTTTCTTTTTTTTAATTATTCAGTGTACGAGAAAAAAAAAAGTAAAAAAAAAAAAAAACACAAAAAAGGAAAAAATACAAAACGAATTTTTTGCGAGACATATTAATCTCCTCCCCACATATGTAGCAACCGATATAATATAAAAAACACATATTACACACACGTCGAGCATAATTACATATACAAGCACGATTTTGTGTCTCGCCTAGGATTTGCATAGGACACATCGATGTCCTTGTATTTATAAAAATCTAATTACACATATTACATACACATCACACGATATTTATGCATAAGCATATGATATATTACACATAACACACATACACAGTACATACATATAGTAATAATATAATACATACAACATTATACACACATTACACTTAAAGTTCGCATTGATTAATGAAATATTATTTCACGTGAGAATAAATGTGTGGCATGTGTGTAAGTTTGTGAGAGGATAGAAAAGAAAAAAAAAAAGATTATAGAATAAAGTATAAATGAAATTTTTATGAATAGATGCATCTTAAAGTTTGTGCATATAACATCATTAACATATGCATAAACCAGCCCCCAATTACCCTAACGCCGACGAAATTGTGAATGAATAAAATGTTGTGTGAGAGATAAGGAGAGAGAGAGAGAGAGAGAGAGAGAGAAAAAAAAATAATCTAATTTCACATCGTGGCGTTTGAAACATTTATAAATTGTTTGTAATAATCCCCCCCCCCTTAAACCCACCCAAATCCCCGTCGTACGGTGCGCTAGATAAATCCTTTGAACGATTTTTTTTCTACGAAAGATTTATACGATATATTGTAATATTTAGAATACGAAAAGAAAAGTAACGACGAAATGGAAACTGTGAAAAAAAGCGAGTGTGTTATAAACAGTGTGAAAGAGAGAGAGAGAGAGAGAAAGAGCGAGAGAGAGAGAGAGAGAGAGAGGTAAAAATGAAACCAAAACGAAGAAAAAAAGAAAACAGACAAAAAAAAAATACATAAATAAATAAATAAATAAATATGTAACGTATATTAGCGTCGTCGAAAAAGTTCAAACGAATAGATGTTTTTAAATGTAACGACGATGCCTAAGGCTCGATCGATTTATTGAGCACATCGTACGTAAAAAAAAAAAGCTATTAAATATTATTATTATTATTATTATTATTATTATGATTATTATGATTATTATGATTATTAATATTATTATTCTATTATATTATATTATTTTAATATAATTTCTATTAATAATAATATTATTATATTATATTATATTATATTATATATTATTATGATTATGATTATGATTATGATTATAATTATAATTATTATTATATTATGATTTATATGTATAATCGTATTTGTTTAAGTAGAAATAACGTCGGCAAAAAAAGAAAAAAGAAAAAAAAAACACTAAACCAACGTGCTTCGAACTTTTGCAATAGTAACGAAACGAATTTATTATTTATATCGTGAAGCACAAAAAAAAAGTAATAAAAATAAAAAACAATTCGTCTTTTTTTAGCTCGCTAAATTGTACACTGTATGTATAACACTTCTGAAATAAACAATAATAAATTTTCTCTTAGTTCCTTCAGCCAAAAAAAAAAGTAATCAAGTTGTTTTTCCTTTTCCTTTCCCTGTCATACTTTCATATCTTTTTTTTTTTTTTTGTTATTCTCATTTCTTTTCTAACTAATTTGTTTACAATGGTGGATTTTAAAATAAGATTTAAATGTAATTTTTATTCTTACTTTGATTACGCAATTGTTCTCAGAACTGAGAGATATGCCATGGAAGCTTTCATTATCTATAATAAAAATAATATTATAATTTATATAAAAAGAATAATACCAAAAAAAATTAAAAGAATAAATAAATTTGATTAAAAAACTTCGTAAATTGTGCTTACAATTGCAAAAGTTTCTAATGAAAATACATAAAATTGTCCAGCTGTTATATAAGACGGTCTTCTTGATCTGGCAATGCAAAACATCATCGAACGTATTTCTTTCGTTGGTAATTCGTACCAATTAGTAAAATAACAAGCCAAATCAATTGCACTACTCTAAAATTAAAAAAAAAAAAAAAAAACGTGAAATAAATGTTTAACTTTATTAATTAATATCTTGATTAAAAACAACAACAACAACAACAAAGATGAAGACTCACTTCTTCGATCAAACATTCTCCTAAAAAACAATAACAAAACGCGAGAAGTACAACTGCACAGGAATATAAAACAAAGTGTACTGTGTTCATATCCTTGCCATTTTCTGACGTCTAATTAAAAAAACATAAATTAATAGATTAATTAAAAGATCAAATATAATTCTATAATTATTTAAATAATTATTACAAAGTCACATAGTTCGAGTTATTTTTTTTTTTTTTTTTTAAGACAAATAGTTGCACCACCACCATGTATGTACCCATGTCGCAGCACTTTGTGTACGCTTTTTATATTTATTTAATTTATTTTTTATATCCTCGTTTAATTATCTACAAATTTATTATTAATTACCGTTAGCAATTGATAGGCCACAACGCAGAGAGAACAAATCAAACCTAATGTTTGCACGAACATAAGAAAACTGAATGCATTCTTCAAAATCGTAGCCAATCTGTAATCAAATTACATTCAAAAACTTCCTACAATTCCCTTATACATATACATATATTTCTTATGAATAAAATTAAATAAAAAATATCCCTAAAATAAATCACAATTTTCTTTCTTTTTCTTTTTTTTTTGTAAACTCTCATCGACGTCAAAAGCAACGAGGAATAAAAATAAATGTACACGTTTTCAATATTATCTTATCATTCCTGGGGATGTGTGGGTTTTTTTTCATTCTTCCTCCCCCTTCCTTCCTCCTCCTTACCACCCAACCTCCCTCCAACCTCCCTCCAACCTTCCCACCTCTTTTTCGACTTTTCAAGAACTAAAATCAAATCTCACCTTAAGAGTTCGTCATGTCGATCGATCAAATGTTTCATTTCGCAATGATACTTTCCCATTTCTAGATTAACGTTTTTCAAACGATTACCAAGAATCGATAATTGTCCGCATAGATAAAACGTCAAAGTAACTAGAAGACTATCCGCGCCAGTTGCACCTACGGTTAACAGAGTACTGGCTGGTATCAACCAGATACAGAACAACGCGTACTTACGAGCATCTGTCACCTCGTAAATATGATTTATTCGTATTGGTAATTCATACGGTAGCGTGCAATTATCGAAACCTGTGAAAAAAAGAATTAAAAAAAAAAAAAACCAAAACAAAGCAAACAACAAAAATTACTCTGAAAAAGTGTTCATACAAAATATTCAATATTTTCTATCAATAGACGAACAAAATGAACAGAGGTAAAAAGAATCACAAGAAATATAATACAAAATAAATTAATTATAGTTTAATATATCAAATGAATTGATAATGTGTCATTCAATCAAAAAAAAAAAAAAAATAAATAAATAAATAAATAAAAAGAAAAAGAGGAATCTTACCGGATAGAATGCATTCGAAAATTGGTTTGCCATAAAATAAAGTAGGAACGAAGAAAAGAGACATTGCTGAGGACGTTGTAAACATAGTTGCTGCCACATTATACCAGACTATTTTTTCCCTTTCTTTATCCGTTCGATATAATCCTTGTGATATGTCTCTTCTAACAATTTTCAAGATCGGTAAAACTAAATGCATCTTCCAACGAAACATCAATGCTTTTAAAACGATCAATATAGTTGGTAATGAAAGGGTTACGTTACGAAGAGTTTTGTCAAGATCATTTATACTTTGAAATAATCCAACGAGTTCTAAACTGGTGAATAATATTACGTAAATAACGTAAAAGAAAAATCGAAAATCGTTACGATCTTCTGGCCATAGTCCTGGCAATGTTAAAAGTCGTTTACTCCATGTCAATACTTTGTCATCGTAAAATATACCCGCGTATTTTTCTTCCACTCTCATAATTTTTTTTTGTTCTATTTTTAAAACTATCAAGATGTATGAGAGTTAATTAATAAAATTGTAAAAATATTTCAGAGGTAGAGTTCGTATGTTAGGAAAGTTTGCTAAAAGACTGACAACTTTTTTATCGAGTATTTTTCTTAAAAAAGAAAACAAAGAAAATTATTGTAATCGATAGTTTTAGATATGCTATTACATACGATCACGGATAGTTTTTTTTTATTAATGAATCGTTTACGTATTCTTTCGCGTTACTTTTGCAAGTCTTATCAAAGTTATCCGAATAATAGCTGAATTAGGATTAATAATTAATTCGTTGGCACGTAAGGTAAGAGATTTAACACATGCAACGTAATGCAACTTTGTCGAGACAAAAAAAAAAGAAACAAAAAAAAATTATCGTGGAAGAAACATACGATCATAAAAAAAAAAGTCTTCATGTGATTCGTGACAGATGCATTTCCTTGAACAACATTTTACGAAGTGAAACAAAAAATATCTTGTATTTATCTTAAATAAATAAGAATCTAAAAAAAAAAAGGAGACAAACAATATTCGACTATTCTATTAAATCTATTAGATAATCATATGCAAAGATAAAAAAAAGGGAAAAAATATCAAATGAAAGAGTACATAATACACGTAACGTTATCTCAAAACCGCGATATATATTCTAGAAAGTATTAGTGATTAAAACGTAACCAGTTCAAGCTTCGATTAAGCTTTCCCTTCGGTTGGTTATCAATTTTGCAAAAACAAAAAAAAAAGTGGAGAAAATATAGAAAGATTTAAAACAAAAACAAAAAAATCTAAATTCAAAAGTATAAATAAGTGTAGCAGCTTAATACGATCAAATAAAATTGTATCTATGTACACGAATATAAGAAAGGATCATAGTTTTGATCGATCGACAACATTTCTAATGAAATTATACGAATCATGTTAATCTATGAAGAAAAATGGTGGTATTTTATTAGAAAGACTAAGAGCGCGTGTGCGTGCGACTTCGAACTTGCAACGAGAAAACGAATGCAACCAGTGTTATACGGTCTTGTGTCGAGTGATAATCGAACACGTGGAAAAACTAAATTAACAATAGTGTTCAAACAATTTAATCAATTTTCTTTAATTTCTATGATAATAAGTTATCCCAAATTTGTCAAATAATTTTCAGACCAAAGTTTTACAGTTAACGAGCAATGATATATCAAAGGATAGCAGCGATCGGTGTATCATTGATCCTAACATTATTCTTGCTTTTTCTCATTATGTATTACTTTAATGAAAGTAAGTATATTTAAATTAATATTTCAACGTTAACTTTACATAATTATTTATATCATTAATGCATTTCATTTCTTTTAAATGTTTTTTATTTCTTTTATTCTATCAACACACATTATTTAAGAGCCTCATGAGATTGCTTTTACGTGTTTTTTTTTTTTGATTGTCAAAATTTTAAACGTTTCAAATCATTCTCGATTAGATAAAAACAACCCTCGAGGGTTGAGAAACATGAAACGATCAATTATTTAATACACTGGTTACTCATCGAACGATGATGGAATAATACTGTATTTTAATGATAAAATATATTCAACTTTGTGACAAATCGAATTTGAATTCTTTTTTTTTTTTTTTTTAAATCAATCATATTAACTTCGTTTAATATCTGACTTTTTTATATGAGGATAGATAATAAATGATTCTGATATAGTCGATTCGTACAACGAAGACTGACGTAACTTCATTAAAAATAATCTTTTACAATTGACACATTGGAGTTATTATACATAAGAAAATCATGAGAAATTTAAATACATCGTTGATTGACATTGATCGTTCGATTATTAACTTACTCGTGAAACTAATCGTATTATTACTCAATCATATTATTCAAATCTTGATTGCAGATAATTGTCCAATTGGTACGTTTCCATGTTTGAATAGTACAATTTGTAAATTACAAAGTAGTTGGTGTAACGGTATAGATGATTGTCCATATGGTGACGACGAAACAGCTGAATTATGTGGTAAGTTGTAAAATAACAAAAATAAACTAAAATTCAATTGATTAATTCAAGAAATATTAACAGTTTACAAGTTTGTAATCGTTTGTATTTAATATTACATTTAGATGAATGAAATTTGTAACAAACTTTCTTAGTGAATTAAATTTACAATTATTTTTAAAAATTTACAAATTACATTTACAATTTTAGTCGATTTAAACGGAGATTGGAGTTGGTTCTTGAAACAGGATAAACTTACAGAGATGCAAAATGACGATTGTGGTAATTCAAAGTTATTTTATTAACATTTCTTTTCTTTTTTTTTTTATATTAATTATTAAGATTAAAAATTGTTGATTTTATTCTTATAGTGATCGAAGATATTCCCGAAGGATGTATTTACAATCAATGTCGTGCTACTTGCAAAGGATACGAAGACATTCCATTAAATTTATCATCAGAAATTGACAGATTGTATGAGATTTTTAAATATTTCTTTATAAACATGATTATTGTATTATAATATAAAACATATTATTCTTCCTCTTTAGAATTTTAACAAACAATTCTATTAGAACAATTCAAGCCGATCCATTGAAAAAATATACACAACTACGTTTACTGTAAGCTATTTTTTTTATTATATTTTCATTTATTTTAAATTATTTTCGTCTAAATACAATATTATTCTTTCATTTGTTAGATATCTCGACTATAATGACATAAATGAGATAGAGGAAGAAGCTTTCGTAAATCAAAAAAAGTTAATTTGGCTGTAAGTAAATTGAAAAATAAAAAAGAAAAAATTCTACATTATTAAAAATAAAATATTACATCATAAATATTATCTTTTCTCCTAGTATCCTATCGAACAATAAATTAAGCGTTATTAAAGTCGGAGATTTAGCTGGTCTATTTAATTTGGAGACTCTCAGGGCCAAGGATAATCGATTAATGTCCGTTGATTTGTCTGATTTTGAAAATAGTACGAGTTTAGATTTGATGTAAGATACGTAATACGATATTTTATTATCTAAAAAGAAAAAAAGAAAAGAAACATCCTATGAAAACGAGACCAAAATTGGATTTTTTTTTTTCTTTCAGAGATTTTCGTAAGAATTTTTTAAACAGCACGAACTTCAAACTTCCACGATTACCTGTTTTAAGAGAAATGTAAGTTTTCAAAGACTGTTTGTTAAATTTAATAATAATCGAGCATGATAACATATACCTCGTTATACGTAGATTTAAAGTTACATTGCAGAATGTTGAGTGAAAATTATTTCGAGACTATAACAGCTGATATGTTCGATGGTGTACCTGCTTTACAATCGTTGTAAGTATTAAATCAAGACCTTTAACTAACAAAAATATTTAAAAAAAAAAAACATGTATTATATTTTTTACAGGAACATGGAACGTAATTATATAAAGATCATCGACGAGAATGCTTTTAAGAATTTAAAACAACTTGTCGAGATGTAAGTATTATATTAGTTTGCATTAAATAAAAAACGATTATATTATTACACGTTTGATGATGATAATTAATAAATATAATAATAAATAAATCATATTTTTGTTGTCCTTAGTAAACTGGCGCATAATTATATCATTTCTCTGAATACGAACGTGTTTAAAACCACGATAAATCTCACGAAACTGTAAGTAAACCGAGTTTAATCTTCTACGTGTCGTAAACATATTTACTTGTACTTATGCACGTGTATATTATCACATTGAGGTATAGATAATTGGAAATGTCACGTATCTTAATCAAATCTAAACTACTTCCATTTAAATAGATTCCCTTAACCTCAATCCTTTTCATAATGGATTATCAAAGCCCTTTGTAATTACAGATTGATCGGTTATAATCCGATAGAAGATTTCTCGACTGATGTATTAGATCCTTTGGTCAATCTACGATCTCTGTAAGTTTGATCTCATTTCATTTTTATATAAATCTTTACTCTCTTAATTAAAATCTTAATTCATTATCTAAATGTAATAATTAATAGAAAACTTTTCATATTTTATTTTTTATTTCAGTGGTGTCGAAGGAATCAAAATGGATAATCTAGACAAAGATTCGTTCAATGTTTTCACCAGTTTAGATTTTATGTATGTTAATTTACATTGATATTATATATTTTTTATATTTGTTAATTTAACTTTGTTGTTTTTTTTTTATTGTAGATATTTTGAAAAATTTCATTACTGTATGACATTTGCTTCTAAAGTACAAAAGTGTGCACCAACCACCGATGGTAAGTTATAATCGATAATAACAATTATTTCTATATTATATTTTAATTTATTTAAATTATGATAATAGGTCTTTCATCTTTGACGCATTTGCTGAGCACGTCTATGTTGAAGGGTGCAGTATGGGGAATTTCCTGTGTAACTTTTATAGGAAATGCTTTCGTACTTTGGGAAAGGTTCACTGCAAAGGATGAGAATCGTGTTTTGAGTATCCTGATTAAAAATCTTGCTGGTTGGTTATGAACAAGTATTTTTTATACAGTAAATCTTAATGTCATTAAAAATCATTGGCTAATTTCCATAATCTTCATTTAATTGAAACGTATTATAAATATTAATAAATAAAACACGTATAGAGAGTAGCTACTGATTAACATTATGATTTCGAACGATGGAAATAAATCATGAAAGCAAAAGAAAAATATAAAAAAATATTTATAATAAAAGGTAGGGGTAACGTTAGATGCCTCGACATAGAATATGCTATTCTTCTACGCTTTGCGATATTATTAGACGATACGATTTACAACACTGGTGCAACGATGATCCACCGGACGATATGAACCCAACTATAAATCATAGAACCGTTGGTTATAGCAATAGCATTGTGCGTAATCCCTTTTACAGTGTCCGACATGCTGATGGGCGTATACTTGTTCATAATCGCTTTGGTAGACTTGCAGTTCCGTGATAACTACAATAAGGAAGCTAGCTCATGGATGTCATCCTGGGCTTGCACTTTTCTTGGAGTTTTAGCAATGATCTCGTCAGAAGTAAGATTATTCCATTTAATTTATATTAATTGGCTTTTAAAAAATAAAAATAAAATATAGAACGTGATCACAGTAAGTTCTGCTACAATTAATTATAATATCTAATTGGTTAATTGTTAAAACGATTTCAAAGGTATCCGTGCTGATCCTATCATTTATGTCTTGTGAACGATTCGTATTGATTGCTGCACCGTTGAAAGGTCATCATGCTATGAAACCACAGACAGCTACAGTATCGATAATGTTCATATGGATCATCGGTTTTATCCTCGCTATTATTCCAGGTACATCACGTTATGATTCAATGTTCCTATATGGATTACAACGTTCAACTAAAATGACCTTCCCCCTTGTCTTTTTTGCTTTTTAACATTTTCACACTTATCACGCTTATATATAATATGATTGGTCGTTTAACTAAATTGTTTGCACATTTTTATCGAACGAAATTTCTTTGAAGTTTTAACAACATTTTGTCTTAATATTTAATATTACATCAAGTTATATTTTTTTGGTTATTATCGATTATATATGTAATTTGAAACTAACTGGTATATCACGTTATTAAATATGTTATTTTTTTGTTAAATCAAATAATTTAATGACTATGTTTAATACAGTTATTCATTGGAGAAACAGCACAAGATTTTATGGGGCTAATGGAATGTGTTTTCCATTACACATAGAAGATCCTTACTCGATTGGATGGCAATATTCCGCATTCATATTTTTAGGAGTTAACTTGTTAGGGTAAGACTTGATATTTTCCCGTTAGAATAATAATTCGTTACTTAATCGACGGGAACCTCGGAGTTAATGTGATTTAATCGTTTAATCAACTATACTTTCATTGAAACCCGATTAACATTTGCAGACTGATAACGATCGGCTACGTTTACGTTGGCATGTTCGCAAGCATTTGGAGAACTCGTCACGCAACCCCACTATCAGCTGGCGATATGGAATTTGCTCTAAGATTCTTCTTGATCGTCTTAACGGATGCAACTTGTTGGGCACCGATTATCATTTTGAAAATCTTGGCTATGATGAAATATCCTGTACCAGGTATATAAACCTATCTTATATTCGATCATGGGTGATATATGATGTAAAATAGTAATGATAATGCTCCGATAAAATTCTTTCCTATCATTTAATGCAGAAATATTAGTACGAGATATTTGCTTTTACGATGATGATGATAATGGCAATAATAATTTCCTTTTAAATATCATACATGTAGAAATATTCTCGTTGAAAGGTAACAACGATTAACGAAATCAAATGTAATATAATTAATTAAGCACTATGATTACTATTCATTTACAATATCGACATATTCATCAATCATCTGTAGATTTTTCAACTATTATACAACTTCGTTTTTAGCGGAACTTCACGCCTGGGTCGTCGTTTTCGTACTTCCCGTTAACAGTGCAGTTAATCCACTTTTATATACTTTCACTACGCCCAAATTTCGAGAAAGATTAATTTGCTTTAAATTTTTAAACAAAATACGAAATTACGTATCGAGAAAACATTCGTCTCAAGGTTTGTATTCGATTCAAATTCATGAGATTAAAGTATCAAATTGATGAAACTATTTTAATATCATAAATATAATTAATTAAATTATCAAATTATTTTCTATTGTATTTATTTTATTACAGAGTCTCAAATGTCTATTACATTAAGTAGTAGAAATCTAATGTTTTCGATATCGTCGAATAAAAAAAACGATCCTGAGAAGGTACCACCATTGGTGATAGTAGAAGATGATTGGAACGATGATATTATGCGACGTATCGTTAAATAATATCGTTTTATTTCAACATTTTTCTCGTAGATCATCCATTAAATGTTTCACCATGATCTTTATCTAACGAGATTATAAATAACATTTGAGATTGTGCCATGTCTTAGAAAATATTGTAAAACAAAGCTTGTTACAATTAAAATATTGCAATATATATATTGTAAGTACGATCGTAGGAAACATTCAATGGAAAATTCGAACACACTCGTTTCAACCTGACCATGAGGATATCCGCCTACGTTGAGAGATCATGCTTTATGTCGTTCATAAAATATTTTAAACGAGGATCGCAAATGCATTTGCAAAATTTATGGCATCGTCTCAGATCTATTGGCGAATCGTGTTCGACCTGGCAACTCCGTTAGAAGGAAAATATACTTAAGAATATTGCAGCCACTTGTTGTATCCCTTTTTGCTCCCTATCTCTCTCTCTCTCTCTCTCTTTCTTTCTTTCACTATCATTCTTTCTGTCTCTTTTAACAACTACATAATTCATAATTTTTATCGTTATCAAGAAAACGGAAGATATGTCATTTTGAGTGTTTCCTCGATCTATATGTAACTTCAATGTTGCTAGATTTAATACATATTTACACACAAACACATATATCTTAACCTTTCACTAATATTTTCCGTACAAACATTACAAATTGATAGAACATATAACAAGCAAAATCAACTACTACAATTTGCAGAAAACGTTTAAACAAATCTCACCCAATATCTTATCTCGCAGAAACTTCTCTCGATTAATTTATCTCGATTGAATTTGTAGAGAGGCTCATCGATGAAAAATTAAATCGCTTATCGATTTCGTGCCAACGAGCCGGTTAATCCCATTAGTCCTTCTTGAGTATGGAACCTTATTGGTTAGCTAAGTTGAAGGTGTAACCCGGTGAAACGATCGAAACCGACGTGACTGTGATCGTAAATCATTGAGGCAATAGAAAAAAAAAAAAAGAAAAAAAGATAGTGTGAGAGAAAAAGAGAGAGCGAGAGACATTTTAAAAAAAATATTTAAAAAAAGAATGGTTCGTCCTACGAATCATCGTTCAAGTGACCGATGACACGTAGATAATTTATGGTGTATAGTATAACGCATACATAAGATAGATCCCGTTAAAAAACCTTGATACTTGAGATACTCTTTTCAAAGTGATTTTCGAGTTCAATATTATCTGTGTAGGTATATTATATCAGATTGATTATATGTATAAATGCGTGTCATGTACATTAGGACCAAAATATTTTCTATTATCGTAATATAAGTCTTGATATCTTTTCTTTGTGCGTTAATCATCAAGATGATAGAAAAGAAAAAAAATGGGTTCGTCCTAAGAATCATCATCGTTCGAGTTTCGAGTTACCGATGACATGTGTGTAATTTATGTTAGATAGAATATATAAGTGGATCCTGTGTTAAAAAAATGTCTTCATATACTCGAGATACTATTTTCCAAGTAATTTCTCGAATTCAACGTTATGTAAATTGATTATACATGTACATACATATATATATATATATATATATATATATGTATATGTTACACCGTAATATTTCCTATTATCGTAATAAGCCTGGTGTGTATCTCTTTGTGCAACCTTCTGAAGGTCTTCATCTTTAAAGTTTCTCATCGAAATTACTATGTTGAGTCGGAAAAGAGAGTGAAAGGCCGCTCCAGATTCGTTTGCCGATTCGAGACGAGAGTGTTGCGCTAAGAAAAAGAGTATGTTACAACAAGGAGGAGAGAATGATGATGTCGAAAGTGCATGCCACCGATTCGTTGTTCATCTTACGACTACGATCGTGCGAACGAAATAACTTCTTCTTCTTCTTCTTTACTATTACGAATAAATGTTTAAGAGAAAATATTTATATCAAATATCAAATTCTATTATTTATATTTCGCGTATATGCAGAGAATATGATTTTAAATAAATAAATAAAAAAATACTTCTTAAATTCGTTACCAAGAAAAATTGAACTTTCGTTTATTACTGATTCAAAAAGATGTTATGAAATTTACGACTTTTTATCACTCGTACGATTCACTTTGCAATGAATGATCTTGTGTAAAAAAAAAAAATAAAAAAATATGTATATATATCCGCGTTAACTCGAATAAGTTGATACTACTATTAATCCTGCAGAAAGGTTGATATTTACAGTTGTCTCTTGAGATGAAGAAGAAGAAGAAGAAGAAGAAGGAATAATAAAAAGAATAAGAGATGGTCTACAGTCGTCTCTAAAACGTATATTAGCCGATAAATATTCGTAGAAAGAGAAAGAGAACTATAAGAGTTAAAATAATATAATGTAGCAAAGAGAAAAACGTATATAAACGCCTACGACAAGAAAATGTAGTTGTAGTAAAGCGTTGAATCTTCTGGCAAACTCGACGCCTTTCAGTTTAGAGAATTGATCGCTAACTAAAGCAAAGCAAATCGACCTTACCGACGTATTAAATAGTCTTTAACGACCCGACCCAAGCGTTTCCTGGAGAAGATTTTAGAACATTTGGATGGCCCCGTACAACAAACTGAAGAAGATTCTGTCGCCAAAACACGCGAAAAGCCATTGGCCGTTGGTCATTAAATCACGTTACCACGTGCTACTATTTACCCACACGTATAATGACATACACAATTACACGATTTCCGCATTGTACTAACTCTTCTTGGTATCTCTCTTTAAAGTACGTTTAAATTTGTGGAAGTAAGCAATGGATTAGTTAATTAAACGCGTATATTATTTTTCTTGCCTCATCAAATGGAAAATTTACTATTATCGTGAATGGATTGATGATAAGATCCAATACCCGGTTACATTTCTAACGTTAACGCGTGTGAGAGAAAAAAAAACTAGATAGAGAATTGAAAAATCTAAAATATCTATTTCAAATGTTTCTATATACTCAATTACTTCCGTATATTTTCTAAAGGAAACAATTAATATCTAGTACATTAAGTAAATTTGTCTATGAACTATGAATGTTAATGTATCCGATATATCAACTCGTTATAATCGTTCTCTTCCTCTTTCATTCTCTTTTATTTCTTTTTAGCAGACCGTTATTGTTAATTCAAGTATATCAAAAGTACGAGTGAACTATTAAATCAAACTATTATCAAGATCTCGATCTAGCTTGTTATATTGCGTGGGTGCATTGAAGAAGATAGTGAACAACGAAGAAAAGATAGAATGAGACACTCATATAGTCATCCAAAGTAGAAATATATGTTATATATGTCGTCGTGTACAAACTCTCGAGAGATTTGTCTTACATTCGGTCAAAGGAAATACGCAAAGTAGAAAAGGCGGGGGCGGCAAAACGTTTTAGCGTGCGCGTTTGAAACGTCCACGACGAACGAACGGTTAGCCGACTTGGAACGGTATTCGAATGCATTTGGATAATTTAACCGGAGAACGAATGGAGCCCTAACAATAGGTTTTCAAGTCCGCTTATCGTGTTAGATCGGACAAGCTGAACCTCTCTCGCGTGGCACGCCATGCTACGGTTTTATAAGCTTTGGCTATATACACCCTGGAGAAAGTACTCGATTATATCGAGCAAAGGATCAACTATGACCTCAAACAGCAGCCTCTCGCGACGTGAAATCGTATAGGTAAATAACAAAAAAAAAATAAATAAAAAGCTTCTTCTAAGTTCGACTGAAACGTGAAACGTGATTTTCGAATAATCGATCGGTTCTAATGTAAATTATTATATCTTCTTTAGAATATTTGTTTCAATAAAAATAAATCAATCGTACGTAGATATTTTATATGATAATAATCATCACGAAAAATATAATTATTTTTATTTTCAAAGACAAGATAGGGTAGTTTCGTTTGAGATAAATTAATATACGTATTATTTATATAGAAGATATTATATATTACATAGAACGAACGATTTATTCGAGTTATTCTCGAACTCGGACATATTATGGTATCGTGCGTTTTATTGGAAAGGGGCAAGGCCGCCAGATAGGTTCGAAGACCAGCTTGCCGCACGATTTCATTATCGATCGTGACATTTTGCTTCCTCCTCTCGGATCCACCACCACTTTTATTCTCGTAGCCATATAACAGATAGATAGCCTAGCTAGCTAGCTTAGCGATGTTACTCGGTAAGAGTCGGATACTCGAAGAAGAAAAGTCGAGGACATAAAACAGCGAGCAACATATCTCGATTCTCGAATAGACACGATAGAACGCGGGGATCGTTCGTAAATCGCGGCAATAACCGATTCGCCGATTAGACGTCTAACAAAAAGAAAAAAAAAAGAAAAATAAAAAGAAGAAAAGTATTTTATCGATCCACCCTCTCTCACAATCGTTCCGTTTATAAAACATTAACGATCTCACGATGGATTCTTCGAGCGAAAGTCTCCTCGTCGTGATCTCGAGAAACCCAATCGACGTAGAACACAAAACCAACCACACTGTCTTGGAATTCTGGAAGCGTGCCGGCGATTCCCTTCCACTACTTAAATCACACAATTGTTCTGCTCGAATGATTTCCAGGTTCTTTGAAATTGCTGACTTGGGTTGGTTATCGATCGTGCTATGTCATAATATTCTGCTGCGGTAACTACTTTAGTCTTTTTTTAATTTCAAATATAAGAGACCAACACCCTTACTTTTATCGATTAGATACAATTTTAATATTCTATACGTGTATGTAAATATGATACAAAATTATTTATAGATCATCGTGTTGACTGAATTTATGTCTCTATTAAAAAATACCAAATTACTATTCTACCACTGTTTTATTATTTATTTAATATACAGAGTTATAAAATTTTCTATACGAGAATTAGAGAAATCGTTCGAGAGATTTACCATATGATTATTATTTTGTACCAGGTAAAGAAGACAAAAAAGATTTCCTTTTCCTAACAAGTTTTAGAAAAGATAAAAAGAGATATGCATTACCATTTGTACCATATGAAATAGAAATACCTTCTCTTCGTATAGACTAAAAAAAAAATAAATGAAGTAAAAAAAAATAATATGAAAAATGTCAAACGACGGTGGCAATCATGGTAAGAAGAAAAATCTACAAAGGACAAGTCGCACACGCTTGAACCCGATTTACAAGTTGGAATTGTAGGTTACCTTTATATCATAGTATAGAAATGATTGCTTTCGAACGATAGAGGAAGGCGCGTGCCATGTTTCTCGAAGACCATGGGTTTATAAACGTTATATTTTATTCGATACCGAAACCACATTCGATCCTATCGAATCGATTCGAAATGATTTCTACCGCGACGATTCTGAGGATAGCCTCCAGTCGTAGGTAATATCCTTTGTACTATCGATCATTCCTTATTGTCGTGATTCCAATCGATATGATCTCGAGACGAGAAAATAGAAGGAAAGAAAGAAGACAAGATTTGTGTAGGGTAAGTTAATGCTTTAAACAGAAAATCTTTGCAAATCAGGAATAATCATTTCACGTACAACAAAGGTAACTAATATTTTCATTATACCATACAATATTTTATTTTATAATTCAAAAAAATCATCTAAATTTTATCTATTTATATGAATTTCAAAAGAAAAAGTGCTACGTTTTATTTTCTATTTTTTAAATCTTTGTACTTTGACTCATCATATACATTTTTTCCATGGATATAATTGTAAGGTATCCGAAAACATTTTTACCACTTGATAGACAAGCACGAATGAAGGGATGAAATCGTTGCTAATTCAGCAAAACGCGAACGTAAATCTTCCTTCCCACGATTACTCAGGATAAAAAATCTTTTGAATTGAAGTCACGCGAACGAGTGACGTGGTGGTACCATCGACTGGAATGAACCCCACGAGACATGCGGTTGGTTTTACGTCCTCTTCTTTTACAGATCTCGAACAAGAATGCGAAGGAACACGATTTAGTCGATATATCGATACAAAAAATCTCTAATAATTTGTTTGTATCATTATTACTATTATTATTTACAAGAATTTCAATATACAATTTCAACAAACATAAATGTTCATGATTGTAATTTAGATTTCATTTCAAAACTATTTAATATTATTTTAAATCATACCGGTATTTTAAATTTACCTATCTATAACTATACATCGGAATAATGATCATATTTTTGCAAATTATAGGCATATTTTATTAATTTTTATTTGGAATATAATATGAATCATATATTTATATTAAAAGTAACGAAATCAAAGGACAATCGATTTTCTACGTAGTAATCTTCGTTTATCCGTGCTTCCAGGTGATCCTTTTATAGATTCGACGTCCGTAATCGAATTAAACGGAAGACCGTGACGATCTCGATCGATACAAGCAAAAGAGAACACTTTAAGAAAGGTTTTCTCCTCTCTTCCAGGATACGAGAGGAGAAAGAGAAGAAGAAGAAGGTGGTGGAGGAGGTGGAGGTGGTGGAGAACGCGTAGAAAGAAGGGAAAGGACGAGAGCGTATATCGGGTGCGCACATCCAGCCATTACCTTCTATTACGTTGCATTACGTTGCATTACGTTTCATTACGCGCTCGAAGGAACATCGAGAGGCGTTCGCAAGATCCAAAGGAGGAAACAGGTAATGAGAGGATCACCGGCATCCTGCCGATAATAATTGCTTTCATTGTGGATACATTGATATGAGAGATGGACTATCTACCGGGTGAGATGATCGTAGGGTATGCGATATATAAATGTTCTTCTTATATATTATATTTTCTTTCTCTTTTCCTCTTTGTATATTCAATTTTTTAATTATACCATATGTGATCACCATTCTGCGATATTTCGAATGAATATTTTAAAATAT